CAGTGAGTGATGAATGATGATCATCAAGGATTCAGAACCCTGTGAGGGTGGCAGGTCCCAACCAGACCCTACTTATCTACTATATATGGTTTTGTGGCTTTCGGTTTCCTAGATAATAATAACGTTTTGAGCATTTACTTGTAACTGCAATATTACTATGATGGTATCTCAATTCAATTAAGCAATATGCACACACCAGGTCCGTTGTATCTTATGTTTATTCTCTATATCAGCAAACATTGAATCGATCAGTGATTAGGCCAATTTAATTCTAATGTTTATTAGGAAGACGATGTATGCGTGGACTAATAGAAAGGGGTGGTGGTGTACACGCGCGCTTATTTTATTTTGAACCTTGGCGCAGGTATTGTTAGAAAAATGATTTTGGTGTGTTTCCTCAGTTCTATCACTTTAGGGTTACACTTTGTGCTGCGTTTTTTTAGGATGTTTTAATGAAAAGCTCACGTTACAATTTATTTTAACGAAAAGCCACATTTTTACATTAAAAAGTTAAACCTGATACTATTCACTTTATCTTTTATTTTGTCATTATCGTTAAAACTCAAAGTTTTCAAGTCCTTTTCATTAGTTTTCTTTTTTTTTAAGCCCTTATCATTGATCCTGGGTTTGTGAACCAAAACATGCTTTAGTTTTGCTCTCTTTTTCTTTCAAAATATGTCAACGGTGTTATATAAATCAAACGATTTGTCACTAATAGAAAACAACCAAATTTACAAATCAAATAATATGTTACCAATAGGAAACAAGCATATTAATCAAAACTTGAATAATTATTCAATCATCAACCACCACATCATTTGGTTTACAAGATTTGATCTCTTAAACATTATTTTTAATAGAAATCAACTCATTTATTAGACGTTGAAGCTAAACTCAAAACTCAATCCGTATATTAAACAAGAGTTTGACACGCTGACCCAAGATCCATCATTTAATAAACGGATCTTGACAGGTTGACCCGAAACTAACACTTAGTTGTAAATTGGGCCCAAAATTAGAGATGGGCTTTGTCTGATAAATTTACAAACAACCCCACCTGTTAAAAACGCAGTTTTCGTGACGCAGCGGCGACACCAGCAACCACCGGCGGTGCGTTTTGGGCGGTTGCTTGCTTGCTCCCTATATATAAGATTTTTTAGTGGGTGCGGCATTCCGCGCCACAATTACGCATACAATCAAACATAGCGGTCAAAATTTTCACTTGTGCTCCTCAGTAAAGAAGCTATGACAATTTTCCGACGAGTGCTGACAACTGCTCGGACATGGCGATCCGTCCCCCTCCGCAGAACCCCAAACCCTAATCCTCCGCGTGCTCTTTCACCTGACCTCGCTATTCCTCGCCTTCTCTGCCACCGTAAGTAACCCCCTCTAAACTTGTAAATTTGATTTAACTTTTCTGAATTTTAAGACATTTTTGGTGCTAAATGGTTTGAATTATTTGTTTTTCTGCTCAAGAATATTAAAGATTATGCCATTTTGTTCGTCAATATATTAATTATAATTAGTTCGAATTGGATAAGTTCAAAATTTATGCTTATGATTGCCAAATGCAGGGTCTTTTGAGCACCAATCTCTCATGTTTCCAACTGTGTTGGCTGGTTTGATCGGACTTGGAGGCATAGAGGTGGCTTATGCAGATGCAGAGGAGGTACCTGTGCATCGATTTTTCTGGAGGATTATGTCGATTTTCAATACGTACCGAGTTAAAGCTGCATTCTTGAACTAGTTTTAATGTGAATTTTTTAATTCTGCAGGATATTTCCAAGCCCGCTTTGCCTGCTGACCCTCCTGCTAGTGGAAGTCATGTAGACCTGGAAGAAATTACCAAGAAACAACGACAGCAAATTCTAGACCTCCTCAGAAGTAAAGGAATTGGACGCGGTTTTTATCCCCCCTTTACCGTTGCTGTTAAGGGACAAAAGGTTATTGCAGTTAACTGAATTGTTTTGTGTGCTTTGTTCTCATAAAAGAATCCATGTATTGTACTCTTTCGAACAGCGTTAATACAATCTTACAATGGGTATAGGTTTCCATCAAGTTCCAAATTCCTCCGGCGTGTGAAGCTTCACAGCTGATAGCAAATATTGCTTCTCATCTTGGAGTAAAGGTAGAAGAACGTGGTGGTGGTTTAGATATGTCACTACGTGCTTGGGACAGGTATTGTTAGAGCATTGCTTTTGGTCCTTTCAGTGTTTCCTCAGTTCTAACTATAACAGTTGCTTAAACATTATGTTCGAGCCCATCATCATTAATTGCAGTTTTGTGAACTCAAATATGCTAAGTAGTGCTATCTGTTTCTTTCGAAATATGTCAGTGGAGCTGCTTGGCAACTCATGCTAACTCGCCCAGAAAAAAAGAAGGAAGCTGGAGGTGATGGAGGGGAATTAAAAGATGTGAGTAAGCATGAAGGAGATTTGCAAGTTCTCTTGTTCCACTCAGTAATTACCTCCTCAGATAGAGCTGTAAGTCTGTTTTATGCAGTTTATGAATATTATTGCAATTTGTCTCCTTTACTTTGTGCGGCTTCAATTACCAAACTCCAAAGGTAAATAACTGGTGGAATTTAAGATTTTCATATCGGTCAGCATAAATTATTGCAGGAAATTGAATTTATGAAGGATGGGACCTTGAGTCCCAAAGAGCTGGATGCTCTGGTGTCTGCTTTGTTATTAGCAGGGACAAAGTTATGGCAAAATAGTACCATGGAAAGAAAACCGAGGGAAGATACCACGACACAAATGCCATCTGCAGATAAACTAATAGCTAGTCTTGAGTCCATGGGAGTGAGAATTTATGGAATTAATGAACCCAATGTTAGTTCCACAAGAAAAGAGATTTCATGGGACAATATTGCTGGATATGATCAGCAAAAACGGTGGGTAGATAACTTTTTTTTTTTTCTTCCTTAATATATGAAATTAATAAACCCTATGTTTCTGACCAGCTACTCTTGCTCATTGTGTAGAGATATAGAAGACACTATTCTGTTGGCTCTGCTTAGTCCTGAAACATATGATGATATTGCCCGTGGGACTCGTTGTAAATTTGAGTCAAATAGACCTCGAGCTGTACTCTTTGAAGGGCCACCAGGTGCACTGATCAACCTTGTATAACTTTCTATATTTGTCAAGATACATTTTCTTCAACTGACCTACTGAATTATTCACATATCTTTTATTCTTGCTTGTCGAGAGAATGAGTTGGGGAGATTTTGGTTACCAATAGTTTTAACGACAGAAATAGTCTTAGGGGTTTGCTAAATATTGAATGTATGAGCATAGTCCACTTCATTTGTGCCTGCTTTTTGCAACTTACGAGAATTATGCAAATGCATTAGTGTTGATATAATGTGTATCCAATTTTAGGTACGGGGAAGACATCTTCTGCTCGTGTCATTGCTAATCAAGCGGTGAGCTGCTAGGCACTACCATTTTTGGTCTGTTAATCTTTTGTTAATCTATTCTCATGTTCAGTGACTGTTTCGCAGGGCATCCCATTGTTATACGTACCCCTTGAGGTTATCCTGTCCAAGTACTATGGTGAGAGTGAACGATTATTAGGAAAAGTCTTTTCACTTGCAAATCAGCTTCCAGATGGTGCTATCATTTTTCTGGATGAGGTAATTGAAGCAATAAATCCCTCGCCACCTTAGAGACATTCATCCCAACTCCCAAGTTTTATGAAATTTCTGTGAGACTAGTAACATGATGCCCTTGTAGGACTGTAGTTGTATTTTGTATCCTATTTGAAATCATGTAGTTGGAGGTTGTACAGTGTTGTGATAACATTGCTTTCTGTTATTTTGACTCTACTCAGATTGATTCTTTTGCTATTTCGCGTGATAGCGAAATGCATGAAGCCACTCGGAGAGTCTTATCAGTTTTATTGCGACAGGTGAAATTTAATACTCATTACTTCACAATAATGCTGAAAATGAACCTTTTATTTGAGTAATTTGAGTCGGAAACTTAGATGATTAAGAAGCTAAAGTGATGCCCTTATTAAGTATTACTCTTTCCGCACAGATTGATGGATTTGAACAAGATAAGAAAGTAGTTGTAATTGCTGCAACAAATAGAAAGCAAGATCTTGATCCAGCCTTGATTAGGTATGTTTTCTTATTTGAAGGATGATAGAACCCTAAGTTTCCATAATTGTTTGCTCACTTTTAATCAACAATGTGCAGTCGGTTTGATTCAATTATCATGTTTGACCTACCTGATCAGCAAAATCGTAAGGAAATAGCCGCTCAGTATGCAAAGCACCTGAACGAAGCTGAATTAGAAGAATTAGCATCAGCAACCGAAGGGTAAGTTTAGGTTCTGACGAACAAAAATCTTTTACCTCATTTCCCCAATTTAATCACCATGTGCATGGCAATGCCATTCCGACTCCTGGTTTTTACTTCGTGGGAATGAGTTATTCTCGACACCATTATGAGTTTTAATGGGTCAATGAACTTTAATTTTATGTTTATATGCTACAGAGTACAATTATATCGTTCCTTGGCTTATCAATCTAACAATGCTATAGTTTTGAAATTGTAATGGCAGTTCATGCTTTTTCTTGTCCTTCTGTTTTCAGAATGTCTGGAAGGGATATTAGAGATGTCTGTCAACAAGCTGAGCGGTCGTGGGCGTCAAAGGTAAAGAATATCTTTATCTTCTTATCCCTCTCGCTCTCTCCTACTGTAGTTTTGGCAAGCTCATCTTCACGGTTTTGACAGATAATCCGAGGACAAGTACCCAAAGATGGAGAACAAGGCTGTCTTCCACCTCTGCATCATTACATCGATAGTGCTAGGAATCGACAGAAGGGTCTACTCAGTTCTGCACAGCAAACACCCCAAAATGCCGACTCCAGCACAGAGAAGCGCAGACTCGTAGTTGATTAATTTCATAGATATGCTTATTTATGGGCATATAAAAGGCTATATATCCATGATAATTTTATATGCGCCCCAAATTTTAGCAGACAAGTTAGCATATAACCAATGTAATGACTAAAATAGTAAATTTCATCTACAAAATTTGATCCCCCAAGTCACTGACTGAACCAATGCAAAGAACTCGGCCTGGCCGTAAGACATGAAGGATGACTTATCTTGTTCAAGTCGCTTGCAATATTCAATCGAAACTTAGGCAACTCGCGCTCCGGCTCAACCCGTTGCTTCTTTGCTTTTAACCACGACGCCTCCCTCGCCTTGGCAATCTCCAACTCCGTCTACTCCATCCTCGGACTATAATTGCCAGCCCTCTGCAGTTCGAGGGTCGTATTGGCACCTGGTGGAGTCAGCATGGGATTATTAGTTGTCCATGACAATACAACTAAGGCAAATTAAATTACATCCTTTTCCTCCTTCGATTTTCTTTTTCTCTATTCTTACGTGCGACTCTAAATCGACTATGTAGAAGTACAAGGATAGAGCTCTAAATCAACTTAAAGGTCTAACTTTTGGCGTAACAAAAATCATGAAACTTTAAACGAATAATACAATGTCATGTGTTTTAACTTTACATTGCATTACTGATTAGGAATGTTACCGCTGACGTGGCAACATGCCAAAATGAAAGGCACAAACCAATGATGGCAACCATTAGTAATTATTACCAATGAAATGACTAAAATAGTAAATTGCATTGAAGGAGGCTCAAGCCGAAAGCCCCTTCCGACGACGGCTCGTCTTCTTCGACTCGCTTCCTTTTACGACTCGGACGACTCTGCCGCTGAGAAACCAACGACGCGATCTGCAACTGAGTCTGCAGCAGCATCTGTGTCAACTCGGTCTCCAGCTCGACCCGCTGCTTCTCCGCCTTCAGCCGCAGAGCCTCCCTTGCCTTGGCCATCTCCAGCTCCGCTTGCTCCATTCTCTGAATCGACTCCGACACGACTCGGAAGCTCGCCGCGAGTCCCGACAACCGCGTCGACTCGCCATCGGAGTCGGAGGAGCTGTCCGAGTCGGAACTCAGCGTCGCATGAGAATCTTCGTCATCGCGATCGACTAAGTTTGGATGTACGGCGGATAAGGGTCCGGCATCGACGGCGTGATTGAGACGGCCCGCGCTGTTGCGCGCGCTCCGGTTCTGTATTGTTCGACTGGTGCGTAATGCCATTTTCACCATCACCGTTTGTGCGATGTTCTGCTTCAACTACGAAAAAGCGATTTTGGTTGGCATTTTACGTCAGCCGATTTACAAAATTTTAATAGACGAATTTCTATACGGTAATTTATAAATTGGTTCGGTCAGTGGTCACCGAAATCTCAGTGTGCGATGTGCAAAAACATAAAACAGCGTGGCTCATTTGAAAAGAACACTAAAGATGAAATTGTGATATGTAGTTAGCTCAAATTTGAGGGGTGTAAACTGTAAATTTCAGAAATATATTTTACACGCGCATCTGAAGTGCGTTGAATACGTTTTAAGTGACGCGCTCACAAAGCTGGTCAGTCAGTCAATGATCAAGATCTCTCCCTGTCTGGTTTCGACGCTGAGATAGCAAATGGCGTCGGAGGAGAAGAAAAAGAGTCGAACCGGAGGAATCCGTACACTTTCCGATCTGAACCGGAGGTCTGCGGACTCGGACAGTGACTCCGATGGCCCTCCGGAGTACTACACTGGTGGCGAGAAAAGGTCCGTCCTTCTCTCTCTTTCCGATTACTCCCTTTTCAACATTTCTTTCAATTTTCGGATCAAAGTTTTTATTCGGTTTATGAAATTCTTCTTCTTTCTGGTTTGTTTGTAATTATATTATTCCCATGTTCCGTAAATTTTTGAATTTTACAGTTTTTATGTTTTTCGTTGCCTATTCTTCACTCCTGTTTGCCAAATTATATAAATTAAAACATAGAAATCTAAATTTTTTGTGTTTTGGTGAGAAAAAGGAGGCGTTTTGTCATCAATTGGGTTGAAAGTAGGATATATTGCCTTTAATTTCGTTTTGGTCAGATGGGTTGAAACTGTTATGGAACTCTTAATTGTGTGTAGGCTGTTAGACCAAGTCAGACTTCCAGTTCCGATACAAACTCTTCAGTTTGTTATCTCAATCTTCCGGCCTTATCCATGAAGAAGTCTGTTAGGTCCAGGTTGAATTTGAATCATTGTTAGCCAGATTTGTGAGCTGTTTGTATTTTTGAATTTCAAACTTGCCGTGTAAATAAGGTTTTCAAAACCTTCATGTGATCTGTAAACCATTATAAATACAAGCAACCCATCATTGTGAGGGTACGCAAATCGAACCGATAACCTCGAGTCTTGTAAGTTTTACATGTTATTAAGAGCCCTTACTGTCTAATGACAAAGATCCTTCATTTTTTTTCCTAGCCCATCACCTTCGCTGACAACAACAATGTCAACGCTGCCCAGCCAACCAACCCTAACCCCCTGCATCTCCCCGTCAATCCATTTTCATCTTCCATGACCACCATTGTCAATATCAAACTTGACAGGACCAACTATCTCGTATGGTTGGCCCAAATTCTCCCCATGCTCAAGATTCGCGATTTATTAGGGTATGTTGATGGTACAACTGTATGCCCTCGAAGGAATCTTCCTGGAAATATTGATGTTATCAGCCTACATGGCATGGGTGCAACAAGATCAGATGATCCTTAGCTGGATCAATGTTTCCTTGGCGGCGTCGGTCCTTTCTGTTGTCGCAAGCAAGCACACTGCTCGTGCAACCTGGGAAACCCTTGAACAACGGTATCTGAGAATAGGATTCTTTTTCTGCAAAATGAACTCCTTCAAACTAAGAAGGTGATTTCCGTTGTTGATTACATTGATCGTATGAATTCCATTGCCGATAATCTTGCCTAGTTGGAAAACCAGTTAATGATGATGAATTGGTTCCAATAATTCTGAATAATCTTGCTCTAGCACCTGATACTCCATTGACAATCAATTCAAAAGCAAGACCAAGGTTATTCAGAATTATTGGAACCAATTCATCATCATTAATTGGTTTTCCACCTAGGGCAAGATTATTAGCAATGGAATTCATACGATCAAGGTAATCATCAACGTAAAGATCACTTTCTTAGTTTGAAGGAGTTCATTTTGCAGAAAGAACCCTATTCTAGGAAGAGGACGCATACCGTTGTTCAAGGGCTTCCCAGGTTGCACGAGCAATGCGCTTGCTTGCGACAACAAACAGGACCAACGCCAAGGAACCATTGATCCAGCTAAGGATCATCTGATCTTGTTGCACCCATGCCGTCTAGGCTGGATTATTCTTTGGAGGGCATACAGTCGTACCATCAAAAGTAGGCGTTTGTCATCAATTGGGTCGTAAGTAGGATATAGTCTTTAATTTCATTTTGATCAGATGGGTTGAAATTGTTATTGAACTCTTACTTGTGTGTAGACATTTCTGGGTTCCATTAGGAAACACATTTGTAGGGGCTTATGATGGCTCGAAAGCGAGTTTTACGGGAATCCGCTGCAAGTTATGTACTATCTTGTGCCTTAGTATTACAACAAGAATACTTCCATGTATGATTATTGAATGTTTATACTCATATTTGCCGAACTCAGTGATCAATTTACAATAATGCTCACACACAAAAATAGACTGATGGAATTCTGATTGGTCTGTGAGATTCGGGTGAAGAGTAAGAAATAAGTAGTTCATTTCTCGATAATATGTTCACTTAGTATTCTATTTACAGGTTTGCATCACATATTGGTTCCGCTATGTATCACAATGGAGCCTATGCCTTGAAAGGAATAGTATGACTTTATGCACGCTGTGCTTATTTCCTTTTTTCTTTCCATGATTTGTTAGATAGTGTTTTCAATTCACATTTTTAATCTTATGTCATGCCTAAGTCTTGATTTCATGGCTAATGTCCAAGTTTCAATAAAATCTTATTATTTTATCCTTGTTTTTGTCATACAGAAATTAACAGGTCTAGGAGCTGATAATTTTTGCATGAAATTTTGAAGAAAGTCTAACATTGGTAATTACAATATTTGCAGTGGAATGCTTGTCCAGGATCCTACAAAGGATAACGATGTGGATTCCATTTTTGATCAAGCAAGGGAGTTAGGAGCTACAGAGGGGCCTTTTGATGCTTCCAATGCATCCTCAAGCTCCAGAAGCTTTGCTGGAACTGGTAGATTACTCTCTGGGGAAACTGTACAACCTACTCCTGCGCAGCCTGAGACTGTTGTTCACAACATCATTTTCTGGTCCAACGGTTTTACTATAAATGATGGCCCTTTAAGGCGGTTGGACGATCCTGAAAATGCATCTTTCTTAGAGGTAATGTCAATAGAAGTTTGACTAATTGAAAAAAGAACAAAGAAACTAGTAGATTATAGAATCAATTGTTGTTGTGGAGGTTGTTCATTAATGTCCTTTAAACTGGTTTTCTGTACAGTCTGCGTTGTTCATTGATTTCCTTTATTAATGGCAACAAATTACTCATGCGCAAGCACTAGTTTGATTTTGCTCGGTTTCGTGATATTCTCATAAATGATATTTTATATCTGCCCATTCTTTGTCTCAATGCAGAGCATAAAAAAATCTGAATGTCCAAAAGAGTTGGAACCTGCAGATAGAGGTACCTCAGTTCATGTTAATCTAATAAGGAGGAATGAGAAGTGCCCAGTGAGTTCTCTCTTTAAGATCTCCTTTGAACAATTCCATTCGGAATATTTTAGTTGAAGATTTTCCAGTGAAGTCATCTCTCTCTGCTATCAAATGTATTTTAAATTTTTATGGCCTGTTTTCAAGGCCAGTGGACATATTTTACTTTACAAGTGACTAATATTTATGTCCTTGCAGGAACCGGTGAAGCGACATGTTCCATTTCAGGGTGTGGGAAGAACTCTAGGTAGCAGCTCTACTCCAGCAGCATCCGAGCCAATGACTGCATCGACTCCTCTCAACACTGCTCCAACCCCTTCCGCAGGCCTGGTTGTGGATGAAAAGTTGCCATCAACATCGGTTCAACTTAGGTTGGCTGATGGAACCCGCATTGTTGGACATTTTAACTACCACCATACCATCAGTGACATTCGCGCTTTCATTGATGCATCAAGGCCTGATGGTCCAAGAAATTATCACCTGCAGATTATGGGGTTCCCTCCCAAGCTCCTCAATGATCCGAGTCAAACAATTGAGCAGGCAGGCCTCGCCAACTCGGTTGTGATCCAGAAATTATAGCCGGCTGGACCATGATATTTTCTGTTTGTCCATTAGCAACATGTGTACCAGGTATTAAGAACCTGTACTGTTTAATCCATACGTACATTGTCTTTCAAGATGTCGGTCTGACGATAAAATACGTCTGGAAACTAGAAAGCATCTTCGTTCAATTTGGCGTCCCGGAAGCAATTTTCATTTCAGCTATTTGGTTTTGGCATGGAATGGTTATTTATGCTCGCTTGTAGAGTTCTGATAAAGTCGGAGCTTTCTGCTATAATCTTCAGTGTGGCTGCCGTATGCGGAATCTTGATTTTTCCGCATACGGGAGATGCACTGAACATTTTCTCCAAAGGGCTTAGAGCTCCACCTTACCCTGGAACACCTCCAATATTTTTCAGTTTTATCTTTTTCAGAAAGGGGGTAAATGAATGCTCTTTTAATTTATTTCTTAATTTAAAAATTCATCAAGAAAAAATTAGTAGTAACGCTTCCTAAGACCTTGTGACCTTATCCTTAATGTCTGTTAAACATTTCTTGTGAAAACTCAACGGGTGCATTTTTCTCAAAAAATTGTTAGATAATGTTCACGATTTTTATAGTTTTGCGAATTTTTACAAAAACAATCATGAAACCATTTTTGTGCAAATTCCACTTGCATGGAAAGCTTCCAAAAATAATCATGTAAGCTCCCACATATCACTTCCGAGCTAAAGCTATTTTTCTTTTATTAATTAATTCGTAAAAAATACTTTGGGGACTCAAAAAATGATAATACCACTTTCAATGCCTTTCCGTTAATGCCCTTGAATCATTTCTTACAAATCTCAACGGTACAATTTTTCTTAAAAACTGTGAGCTAAGAGCATTTCTAACGAAGAAATGCAAATTTGAGATATAAAAATTATATTTATATCTCATTTGATATTTTCAACAGCTATAAATGAAAGTTCTACTCACATGGGAAGGATGTAAATTTGAGAACTCGTTTTATTTATTCTCTTTGAATATTAGTAGGACTCATCACCAAAACATATAAAATAAAGGGTAAATTACATTTACATACATCAGGTTTGAGGCCTATTTCAATTCCTTACAACATCTTCAATATGTTTCACTTTCATACCTTAAGTACT